CTTATCTCCCCGACCTTGGTTTCCGGTCCGACGGGAGAAGTAGTACCACCCAACAAGGGAGGTCTTGAGAATGTAGGTAGCTCGGAAACGGGAGAGAGAGTAAGGGATGGAGCAGATCTGACAGTAGATCAGCAATCCTATGATGATCCTGATCGAGTTAGGGTGAACCTGGGTGATCCTGAACCCCCAATAACTCAAGATCTCAGCCAGGGCTGAAGGGATGGGTAGTCGGAGACCCCCGATCAGCTGCTCCTTGTAGATGGCTACAAAGCCAGAGGGAGGCCGGCTGGCACTGTCGTTGGGCCCGGCAGCCCTTGGCTCGAAGGCTGGAGGGATGGAGAAAGACCTGACCAGTTCGGCCACCGCTCGGGCGAGATGGTGACCTCTTTGTGGTCGGGTGACCGAAGTTGAGCTCGGCATTATCCTCCTGCTCGGGGGCAGGAGTCCCCTCGGAAGAGTCCCTATCCTCCCCAGCTCCCCCCTGGGCTCCATCGGGGGAATCGTGCGGGGACTTGGGGAGGAACGGACGTGGCCTGTTGCTCGATGAAGGCGTCAAGCTCGACCGCCTCCTCCAGGGCTCGAGCAGAAGGGGAGTGAGTGGAAGGAGAGCTCATGATGGCTATGGGCTCGAGAGAGGTCGGGATTGGAAGTGGAAGAAGAAGAAAGAGGAGGACGTGAAGATGAAGATGAGGATGCAGATGGGGAGGCGGACGAAAAAATGACAATCTGGGAGGTTCTACGCCGGAAAGGGATCTGAGATGCGGTGGAAGTGACGCCGGAATGATCCGACATAAAAAGCAGAGAGGGCCTAAGGAAGAGGAAAAGTGAAGGAGGAAAGGGAAAGACTTACTGATGACCGAAGTAGGAAGGATGAAGGAGTCGCCGAAATCTGGGCGTAAGAGAGCCGGAAGTCTTGTTGCTGGAAACTAAAAATACGCGAAGACAGGAGAAAATGGCAAATAGAGTCGGGTGAAGTCTGCTGACTCCCATTTATAGAGGGTGAAATTAGGGGAAAACGGTTGCTTGAATTTGAACCGTCCCATGTGAACGCATTTAATGATGGAACGGAGACCGAAAGGACGCGACAACTGAAAGGACGTGGGCGCGGCTTTTCTATGGCAGCACTGTACTGGAGGTGATCTTGGCAGAGTAGTGTGCGGCGCTGGCCTCCCACATGGCAGGGGTAGATTAGGTCTGCCTGACAGCCCTATCTAAACTAGGGGCTAGTGTAGAGGCCCCGTCCCGAGCCTAGACACGTGGCAGCCCAGGTATGGCCGAGCAGGGCCTCGACCTCAGGCCCCTGGCAACTGTCCTGGGCCGTATCGTCACTAGGGCTCCAGAAGGGCTAGGGGACCATCCCGCAGAGGTCGGAAGAGATCCCCCTCGCGCGCGGGATAAGGCTATCCCGGGCAAGTCCCGAAACGTACGGAGGTCGGACTCCCGAACAAGTATAAATGGTAATGGCCATCACCTACACAAGGTACGCATACTATTGGCACATTACTCTCGGCTGCTTAATTCCCGAAACCTCATCCACCGGAGAACTAACTTGACCGTCGGAGTGCCCTCGGGACAACCTCGGGGCCCCCTGTTAGATCACCCTATTGTCTGTCTTGCAGGCTTGGGATCAACTCTACCCATCAGCATACCGAGCTCATCAGTTCAGCTCGGTCCGGGGAAACTCAGCGCTTCTTCAATAACTTTAATGGTTAGTCTATAAAGCACGTTACATCAGGCATTGGTCTACATTGGGTGACATTTTCAGAGGACTTCAACTTCAGGAACTAAGAGAAGCAAAGTTAATTCAAAAGGCTCATGCATGGTTCTCCTTCAGATTTAACCTCATTAACAAGCGCATAATTGAAGCTAATTATTTTTCTTATGAACAAGGATGAATTCAAACAAAAAGCTCAAAAGAGACGTACAGTTACAAAATGGAAAAAAAATGCTGAATAATAAAAAAAATGATAACACCAATTGTATTTATGATAAAAAAAATGATAAACTCCAATTGTATTTATGATAAACTCCAAATAAAAAAAATGATAACCTCATTAGTATTTATGAAATTGTATTTTACATTTGTAGAAAAATAATATGCATTTTATATCTACTAACGGATAAATTACCGATGTTTTGAACAAATCAAACCTAAACTCATGGTGTGTATATGTATATAGTTATTTATACTTATGCCATCATCCTTTCTTCCCATTTGCTTTTTAATAGTGCAAATTTCTTTTGATTATATTTATGAGTGGCAATTTCCGACACCACTTAAAAACATGACATGAATGTAATACGAAATTAATGGGTTCGGATTGAAGTTTCGCAGGTTCGGGTCAAAATCGGGTCGAGTCCAATGAACCCGAAAAGAAAACGAGTCGAATTCGAGTGAATCCGTGGGTGACCCGATACCCTGATACAACCCGATAACCTGTTTACGAATTAAAAATTATTTTATCTATCTAACTAAGTTATTCTTTTTTTCCAAAGGCATTAATCACTTAATCCTAAATGAATTTATTTAACTTGTGTGAAGTTGAAATTATTATATTTGGACAAATAATGTATTGTATTATTTTTTACTTTTATACTGTTTTAATTTATTTTACATTTGGTTTAGGATAAAACACTTTTACAGTGTTTTTATTTATTTTAGATTTGGTTTGGGATTATTTATTTAAATTTTATTACTTGATTATGTAATTAGTCTTGTGCGAAATTGATTTTATTAGAAATTACAGTGATAAATTAGTAAATTGAAATTAAGTTTCGGGTCATTCGGGTCATCCCGTCAACCGACAACCTGAAATTTTCAGATTCGGGTCAGATATCTTGACCCGTCTCGGGTTGGCAGATCAGCAGATTTTCTGTTATATTCGGGTCTCAACCCGACCCGCCAATCTAATTTATACCCGATTGCCACCCCTAATTATATTGGTAAAAAAATAACATATTTTACAAATTATTCCGATTTATTTAGAAAATGTTACTAATTTCATTAGAAATTATGAAATGTAATCATGGTTTATTAATTTTTTACTAAATATAAATACTGCATACAAAAGGAAAAGATATTTGACTTTGTTTTACTTTGATTAGAAAAACTTGTGGTAGTAATAATGAATAGTAACAGGGGTGCAAATTTCAAATCAACAACCAACGTACACTTAATTACGGTAATTTTTTAGTTGATCAGACTAATATATGCCATAAAGTAGTAAGATTTGATCATTTATAAATTGACAATTTTAGCAGTTTATATACCATTCACCTATAAAAATTATTATTATTATAAAATGACATTTTGTAATAATTTACATACTATTTGCCAATTAAAAGCAATTTCGATAAAAAATGTGCATATAAATCCATATTGTAAATGATACAAAATATATTTGAAACTCACGAAATTTAATATATGGGTAAATTTACTATAATTTTCAAAGATTATGCCACATTAGTACAATTTTAACTTTTATACTTGTGACCTAGAAAATAAATTTATTAAAACACATAACATTTATAAATGATACATACATTTATTAAAATGCCTAAACACATAATATTTATGAATGATACATACAATCATATATTATACATTTACGTTACCAACAATTACTAACTATAATATTAAGTTTCAATCATTAATAAAAAAATCTTAGCATTATTTTAAATGAACTTTCTAATACTTGTTTCATAAAAGTTTCTTTAAATAAAAGAGTAAATTTATGCCACAAACTAGAAAGTTTTGACGATTAACCAAATTTACTATTCTATCAACAAGATTTACTATTAATCTATAAAAACTTATTATTACTTGAACTAAACTTACTCTCCAAAAAGTAAGTTTCGAATATAGAGTAGTAATTTATTTTTTAAAAAAAGTAACTTTCATTTTTATTTTGATTCACTTTTTGAGACATAAAAGTTACTAATTTATGAGGATAACTTACTATTTTTAATGCGAAACTTACTACCCAAATTTTTAGGTATTATCTTGTTTAGGTGACCTGTCTAACAACTAATCAAATAGTCATTAAAAGTGTTTTTACCTGTTATATTGGATAAAAATAGTTTCGTTATCGTAACTATCGTTACTTCTTCAGACTTTTCCTCTAGTAAGATCTACATATCCCCCAATCTTCATGTTTGTTCTTCTTCTAAATTTATTTAGCTTTGTTCTCTAATTATGTGTGTTGGGTTTTCTTTAAAATTTATTATTTTTTTTTAAGAAAAAAGTTTTATGAGCTTCACTTTACAGACTACAGATATCTTTATAACGATTTGGAGGTGGGGGAAATTTTCGTTCAATTTAGTGGAGAGAATGAGGTTTTGAGGCTTGAAAGGAGGAAGAAAAGGGTCATGCAAATCATTGTGGATCCCTCTTGGCAGATATCCTCCTCTGGCAGGCACTGCCGCTACTTCCTCAATAGCAAGGGGTACGTACTAGGCGGTGATGGTGGTGAAGGAGGAAAGCAAAGGAGGTAAGGTAGCAATTGCTGTTAAGGGTTTAATCTAATAGAGTGGTGGAAGGATATCATAAACTGCAAAATGGAGTCTTAATGGGTCCAGGTGTTGGCGGCGGAGGCCGTATCAATGGAACACGTGGTGGTGGTAGCAGGCTGAAAGGGTTGATTTAGGGTTAGCGTCGTGTGAGTTAGGAAGAACGAAGAGAAGAGATGATTATTTGCTGAGAATTCTGGTTTCTCAATGTTTAGCACAAATTCTCCATCAATCGGTCTAGCTGTGGGGTCACAGACCGGGTCTATCCAAGTTTTTGCTGTAAAACGAGCACACGAGGGGTTGGTCAAGATAAACTAACTTATCTGGAAAAGACAAACTAAACTTATCTGAAAGTGGAGTCTCTGAAGAAAAGAAAAAGAAAAACATGATCCTAAAACCACCCCAGCACTTCCACTGTTGAATCTTGATGCTTTCAAGATTGATTTGTGTATAACACCGCTGCTAAGATAGATAGACAGACACGTCGGGAAGAAGAGAGAATGCTGACGATGGTTCAATCTACCATCTCCTCACCCTTGCAGCATTTACCACCAATTCTAACCGCAACCCACAAATGTAACAGTAATTTTCAGCTCTCAGCTTCAGTTCCTCAGTGGCCAAGTACAAGTACAACTCTCAATGTCAGATTGAAGCCTCCAAAGGAGCTCCTCTCTTTTCAGGTTATTAAACACTCCTTTATTTGGATCTTAGGTTTGTATATACTTTTTTTTTTTTTTTATTTACTTCGGGCTGATTTTGTATATGTAGCCTTGAATTTGTTGGTAATGATTTTCCTATTTTCTATAGTTTCATTAATAAGATTAATGCTTTCTTCTGGATAGTGGGTTGTTTTACTTTTCTATTTGAGTGCCAAATTCATGCAATTTCTGAATTTTATGGTGATTTTTTATTTTTTGACACAGAAGTTACACTTGGTGGAGTTATCTTAGATATTAAATTTTTTGCATGCATCAATTCCTGCTCCATTGGTTTCAAGAATTTAGTAATTAATTACTAGAGCATTGGATTTTGGCTCTTAGTCTTAGGTAGAATGCGCCAGAACCTTTATCTTCTTGTATATTCTGAATGGGAGATTGAGACCAAATGTATCCGATTTTTAGTAATCTTCATATATGGTGTAATTAGCTATTGTTAGAAATGGCGAGACCAAGTATTAAAAGTAGGTTTTTCAAGTCAGTTAATTGGTGTGCGATGCTTGCTATTAAGAGCCTATATTTGTACTTGTATGTCTGAAGTGATGAAAGCCACACAATTAGTTTTGGTTGGCAAAAGATCAAGTTATACAAAATGGAACACGCTTTTGCAGTTCTGTTCATTTTTATCATTTTGAGTTGGAAGTTCTATGGTGTATAGTTTATGTACTTGACTGTGATATATTCAGCAGTCCAAGCAAATTGCATGCTGCCTAATTGATTACAAACAGAGCTCAAAAAATTTCTGACTTATGCCGTGGGAGACAGATCTCGTATGAATAATGTTCCTTGTAAATTTAATTTGTGCCAAATGTGAAAACCCCCCGCCTCCCCTTCCTTACTAGTTTTTTTTTTGGGGGGGGGGATGGGGGTGTGGAGGGAGGGAGGGGTGTGGGTGTGTGCTTGCTCTGCAGGAACTAATGGTTCACAGTGTAGTCATGCCTGTTTGTAAAACAGCTTCTGAGTTTCTCTATCATTTTGATGGCCACAGATACTCGGAAGGGAAGTGAGAAGCTTTTCATTCTTGCCATTACAAAGACTAGATGGTAGCTCCTTTTTTCCTATCTCATAACTTATTTCAGAGTATATCTGTTATTATGACACACTTTCCAATCATAAAGCAAAATATGCAAGGGGCATTGTGTGTGCATTGGCAGAATGATAAGAAACTTCCAACCATATTTTGGTTCAGATCCGCTTGTCAACCTATGCACTTGACAGTGCCATTCTGCAATTAACTGGAGCTTAAATTACTTTTGGAGCCTTCCTCTGAACATTTTACTATTGAATATCTGTGTTAATGCAATCATGGACTAGATGTTTGGGTTAGAATTTTTAAACATAAATTCACTTTCCAGTTATGTTATATGGTTAGTACCAAACAGGCTTTAATTTTGGCAAGAAGACTCTAAGGAATAAGACCTTTTCTTGTTGCTCCGCAAATTGCTGCAATTTTTCCAATATAAGAGTCATTGCAGACAGTTTGTCTGACACGTAAAGTTTTCTGGACCTGAAGATGCTAACTCATATTGCCAGCACCAAGTCATCTAGTCGAACCTGGCTGAAGTTTTAGGTTACTGGCATTACGCTTATTAAGAAATAAGAGAAGCGAAGAGTACTTTAGAGGATTATTGAGGGTAGCAGATACATAGGAGAAAAGTGTTAATGTTTACTTTGTTATCTAACCCATTGAAGAGTGCATAAAACATCTGTATTGCAATAAACCTAGTTATAGTAAATGTCAAAAGCAAACAGACTAGTTTTGTGTTCTTTATTCTTCTTCATCTACGTTTGGTTCTTATTAAATGGATTAATTAACTAATTTTAAAACAAATATAATGCTCGTCAAACTTGAGATCAAGATTTCCTTGAAACACAGTATCATAAGCATTGATAGTCTGATATTTTTTGAAAGATTGATGATTTGTTCCATAAATTGAAGCTTGATTTCTTCCATAAATGGAAGCTCTACTGTTATCTTTCATTTTTTCAATGTAACATAATTTAAAGTACTCACCTCTCAGTATTCAGTGAAAATCCACATGTCATTCGGCACTGAAAACAAAAGTAATAATGCTGTGGACAAAAGGAGCTCTGGATTTCCTTGAAACACGGCGAGCATAAGCATCAATATCATGAGATTTTCTCCTTTGAAAGATTGATAATTTATTACATAAATTGAAGCTTACTATATTATCTTCCAGTGGTTTTATCTCAATATAAGGTAAGTTAAAGTTCTCACCTCTCAGTATCCAATGGAAATGCTCATGTCAGTCACCATTGGAAAAAACTAATAATATGAGAAAAAGGTGCTCTAGAATATATCGTGATGCTCAAGATGAATGTCTAAAGAATGATGAGCAGACATGCCAGTGTAAGGTGGAGAATATTGTGGACATTTGCTCTGAATTATGAAAATAAGTGACATCAAACATGACCTTTTCCATTTTTAACTGGCTCATACTTTTTGAGTTTAAACAACTCCAAGGTTTTATTCCCTTTTGGTATCTGTTTAAACATTAACAGTTATTGATCTATGCTTTGAACTAATAAATTGCACACTTGAGTTGGAATTCCCTCTATAGAGAATTGAAGCCTATTTACCTCTCTTTGGATTGTAATTTCCATGGAAATGTCAACTTTAATTGTCAGTCCAACTGTTGGCACAGAAATCAATAATTGAACTGAAGCATAGTTAAAAGGGAATAGCTAATGGTAAATTTCCAATATACAGTTGATGTCTTGTCATTGTTTTAGGTCATTCCCTTTGGACTTGACTACAATTTACTCTGGATTAGAGTAGACTCTAATCACCATCGATTTGTCAGGGTATCAGTTGTAGGAAACAGGCTTATAATTCAGTTCTTGTACTTTAGTAAGCAGTTAATATTTAAGCAAGGATTCTAAGACAATAAGCAATTACTCTTTGCAAGGATTAGTTTGTGTTTATTAGTTTGAGAGGCTACAGGTAGGTAGGTATACAAGTTAGTGTAACACATATTTGTAAGGAGAATCTTATACATGGAGAAGAGTAAGATTCATGCTCTTGGAATCTGGAAATCAGAAGCACGTCCTTGGTAGATGAACTGAGTTATAAACCTTGAAACTTCAAATCATCTTTCTTAGTAAAAGCTTTTACAGATTTAATATGTGGCTGAAGAATGAATAAAAACATCATGGTCGTTTTTCAAGAAAATTCAACAATGGCAACTTTAACTAGCAGTAGAAGAAGCCTTACCAGGCTATTGCAAAAATTGAGACTATTTTTTTCTAATAATCACCATGCATCTCCATTTGGATATTTTCCTTGAGGCTTCTTGAAGTAAGTTTACAATAGTTGCTAGTAGACAATGACGTTTGATGCTCTATTGGTAAAAAATTGTACTAAAAAAAAAATTTTCTTTTTACTTCTATGTTTTCTGTTTCCCTATTGATGTATTGAGTCAGTTGTCTAGTAAAGAAGTTATCTATCTGCCACGTTTATCTTGCTGCAGAATTCTCAAGTTACCTACCACATAGTGAAGATTTAACTATTGTGGATAGACAATCAATTTACACAGCGGAGCTCTCTTATGGAGCAATATCATGGTTCGTGTCTGAACAAGCTGCATTGGCAAGTGAAAATGTCAGAATGAATGCAGTTTTTGAGATTGGGGAATTGTTTGAATTAGGAATTCAGCTCACCTACTTGCTTCTGCTACTGGTGTTGATTGGGGTTGGAAGCTTTTTCGTAATCCGTCAAGTACTTGTCCGAAGAGAGCTTGATCTTTCTGCAAAAGAATTGCAAGTAAGCAGTTTTAATAGATCTTTTTAAGCTTGTTATCTCAAACTTTAGTATGCAAGATGTCTTGGAGGAATAACTTCAGAGAAATTTGTCAAACATGTAGCAGTCATTATCCAACAAGGAAATCCCCTCCAATTATATCTTCTATATAACTATGAGTGATGGGTAAACACCATTTCATAAAGTCTGTTTCCATAGGATTCAAGGTTTGTTGTTAATTAAACTGTGTAAGAGGCCTTTGAACTCTATCCCTATCTAATACTAAAGAATTCTGCATTTGTCAAAACTAAAGAAATTAAGTAAACCTCCATCTAATGAATGCTTGATTTAGTAAAGTAGATAAGAGTAAGCTAGTTAACCAGATGATGGTATATCGGATCCAATAAGTATCTGAAGACTATATGATACATTGATTTCAGCATAGAGTGTTCATGTCAAGAAGTTTCAATCTGAGTTCAATTGCAATACTAAAAGGGAAATGATAAGTGATCCTAATTTTGCATAGACAAAATAGAATAACATTGAAAAATGGAATAAAACTATGAGATATCCCAGAGACTAAAGGTAGTTGTGTTGTGCTATACGGCTTGAACAAATATCTCTGCAGAAAAAAGTTAAATATGTGAATACTGTGAAATATGTTTATCGAAATTTTTTTAGTTGAATTAAATTAATGCTTCAATCCTAAAGAAAAAGATAAATGCCACTTCAATCCCTGTCAACCAGTAAAGATGGTTTTTGTGGAAAGTGATACATGCTGGACAAAGTCAGTAGGCTCCTTCGCCATGGATTGAACCTTTTCTTCAATTGCTGACTTGTGCAGTGTTCTACAGCAGCTAGTTTCTATTTCACTCAATATACTACACTTTTTTTTAATCCATATACAGCTGGTTTCTAATGCTAGAATGCTTATTACTCTGACAAATCTTTTTAATCCATTGACTGTTAGCCCTATGGTGTCCATTGGTGTTGAATTACCAGTTAACCTAAAAGCTTAAAATGTTAGGAAGGTGTGTAATTTCCAGGACCAAATGCTTAAATCATATAGTCTAGGTTACCAGCTAGGTTCTTGTCAATGAACCAATTATTTGGAATAGGTGGTTCTGCGAACTACCTAAAAACTTTGCATACTTTGACAACATCTTGAGGTGTCACGAAATCTAAAAGCTCAAGCTAATAGAGGGGAGACTAAATCATAATCGCATCTAACACTTCACAATCCATTTGTTGATAATGTCTTTTCTCAACTGGCGTATCTTGTTATTTTGAACTCACTGCACTGATTTCTTGGTTATTTTCCCTAACCTGTCAACTAAGAAATACTTAAATACTTAATTCAATCTTACTCTGCATAACTTAAAAATTTTTCTTGATATAGTTTAAATTCACTTTGATATAGTCTAAATACAATTTGCAATTCACTAATTGTGCCGTCCAGTGGTACACTATGGATAATTATAGGAACTCTTCCCCTTTTTACCTCTCTCTCTCTCTCTCATGCTAGTTTATAAATTTCAGGAACAGGTTAGAAGTGGAGATGCTAGTGCAACGGAGTTTTTTGAACTCGGAGCAGTGATGCTGAGAAGAAAATTTTATCCAGCAGCTACTAAGTACCTGCTTCAGGCAATTGAGAGATGGGATGGTGACGATCAGGATCTTGCTCAAGTAAGATAAGTTCTTTTAGTTTCCAGTTTTCCAAGAATACATAACTGCTTTTCCAACATTTCCATAACCAACTGGTTGAAACTTTTTGGTCCCTCATCTTAAGAGATCAGTGTTACTATTTCTGTGTTAATTCCATCTTAAAATTCCACTGTTTGTTGCACAATAAGCAATGAGTGATAGTCAGATAATGTTCCCCATCGTCCCCAAGAAAAGTTTCCAGAATGAAGAGATTAACAAAAAGAGGTTGAATCTACAGATAAACAATTCAAAAGGGTCACCCAAAAAAAAAATTTATGGCTGAGACAGCTAGTTTAATGTGAAAGACCCTAGTTTGACTAATTTAATTACTTCGTTCATGTCTGAAACAGCTAAACTAATAATTTAGGACTGGCTTCAGAAAGTGAAAAGTGCTGTAAACTTTTGTGGAATCGAAGTAGCTGATAAATAGATGAGACTATTACCAGCACATTCTAGTACCTCATATCACTGGTCTTGGATACATTTCAATAGATTTTGTATTAGAATTTTGTAACTGGTCATTTGGCAAGAATATGAAATGATCCTAATTGGTGGAGGTCGCTGACTAATTTAAGATGGACAATTGTTGAGGCATTACAGGATTTTAATTCCATTTCTCCTTATTATCATTGTTAAAATTTAGTTTCTTGTGACTTGGTTTTTCATAGCTTACCTCTGTTTGTCGAGATTTTAGAAAATCCTTCAGGATCTTTCCTTAATCTTTTCATCTGAGGTTGACATTTAGTCATCCTAAATTGCTTGTGCTGTAACTATAAGGGCATTATCCTCCATGTGAAAGTAAATGTGGAAATGCCTTGATTTGATAAAATTGACTGATTAAACTAAAATTACAAAATGAAATCAAATTCATGTTCTGTTCATGACTTCTCATGAACATTCTCTCGCATGCTTTCATAATTATTCTTTTTTCCCCCAACTTTAACAGGTTTATAACGCCCTTGGTGTTAGTTACATCCGTGATGAAAAATTAGAGAAGGGAATAGCCCAGTTTGAAAATGCTGTAAAACTTCAACCAGGCTATGTCACTGCCTGGAACAACCTTGGTGATGCCTATGAGAAGAAGAAAGACTTCAAGTCTCCCTTAAAGCATATGAAGAAGTTCTCCTTTTTGATCCTAACAACAAAATTGCACGTCCTAAGCGAGATGCCTTGAAGGAAAAAGTGAAAGTGTACAAAGGAGTTCCTGTGAAATCCAAGAAGAGTTGATTATTATTATGTTCATCCTTAGGAACTTTGTCGTTATTTGTCTGAACTTTACCGGTTTAATAGTTGCTCCAGCCAAAATTTTGAAACATTAATAGCTGGATTTTCAAAACAGATCCTATGCCGTGGTATCAACTATCAATGAACCATGATGAGTTTAATTGTCCTTGAGGTATGATCTTGAATGAGCCATCTTGCTCTACTGAGGGTTTACGGAAAAGATGAGTACATTGTTCGTCTTATCACAGATTGACATGTGTGCAATTCATTGGCAATTGATCAGCTATTAATCGAGCTACAGCACATTATCCTACGAAAAGAAGTAAGATTATCATATCAGGCTTACAAGTTTACAAAAATTGTTAAAATTGGGTTTAGCATAGGGCCTACCAAGTAAAACTCTGAAATTTATTTTCCCCTCTTCTCTACTGCATTTTAGAGTTGTTCAACTCAAGGCGGAGGTTGAACCCTTGTATATTCTCATCGGTAAATCTTTGCTTAATACCTGCAAACTTTTTTATCTGTTTCATAATCTTTGTTAGGTGTCAAAACTGAAAGCCTAGGCATTGAATATGCTCTTGAAGTGCAATTGCAAATGAAATTCTCAACTTCAATTTCTTTTGTACCTCGCTATCAGTCTTTCTTATCAAGCAAATGGAATTCTCAATTTCAATTTCTTTCGACCACGCTTTCAATCTTTCTTATCAAGCATGAGGAACTAAATGCCAGATGTTACAAGACGATGGGCTTCAAACGAAAAATCTGATTGGTAATATCTTGAATGTCGGTTTATTTATACAGCAAAAGGGGAAGAAGAATTGTTTGAATAAAGTGATTTATTTAGTTGAGGCATGATGGATGAATACTCAAAATGACTCCCTTCAAATGGCTTAACTCCCAAGACTCCCTTCAAATGGCTTAACTCTAAGCCTGAACTGCGTAGTGAAGGATGTACACCAGAAACTTTTTTCTTTTTTTGGTTCTTGACAAAACAGAAAGCATAGGAAAGAAGAAAAAATATGTGTGACAGGCCTTCACTTATGTGATGGATCATTTTGATCCCTTATTGATCAAGTAGGGTCATACTAAGACTGAGACAGTTAATGCAACATGATCTTAACTCCACTGACTATTTTAATTCCACTGACTACCTATTTTGTAATGAGAAGCAGCTTTCGTGCTTTGTTTATATTTTAGAAAAGTAATTTTTCAGGTAAATACTCATGTCTTAGCTGAAATTTGTCGTAGCATTTATACCTGGATGCAGCAGTGATAAGAAGCAGTTGAACAAAGAGTTACTTGGTTGACTGGGCAAAGATTTGTGACACTTACCAATTACCATTAGCCAGTGCCATGGATCCAATTACGATTCCAAAACTGCCAGTTATAATTCTTTTGAAAGGTGGAACTGGTACTGAACTTTGTAGGCATAATTGTAGTTACATCTTTGAAACTTTAGACTATGGTTTTGATTCCTTCCAATTAACGTTTGTTCCTTTGCCATTTACAATTTCAGCTCATTTCAGTACATAGTTAGGGCAGAGGGGGTTTAGGACGTTTAATCCAAATACAATCCAAATACACTAATGTTGAGAGAATAAGAAATTGAGAGAATTTAAGAAATTATAAAATTATATTGACCAAATGAGAAATATCGAGAGCTAGGGAAGTAGAGGAAAAATGAAGAATTATAGCCTAGAATTTGTCTTTTCTCTTTTTTTTTTTTCTTTAAATGGATATAAACCACATCTGGACCAAAATCCCTAGTTGTGGTTCTGCTTCCAATTTGGAAGAATCTAAAATGGACCTTTCGCCAAGATTCTGTCCCAATTTCTGAAGAACTTAAAGTAGAACCTTCAGCCACCGGTCCCATTTTGATTTCCCAAATTCAATTACAACTCTACTTTGTTGCCAGTTCAACCTACAGCTGTAGTTCATGCCACTTATTATTCTTGTGGATTTGTTTTTATTGGAACTAGGCTTAACTTTCCTAAGAGTAGCTCAAAATCTTCTTGCAATTAGAGTTGCAAAAGAGTCAAGATGAATCGAGTTTTTGCCTTATCGAACTGAGTTCAATTCAATTTTGTCAAGCTCCAACTAAAGTTTGAAATCGATAAGCTTTTCATTCTAAAACTTGAGATCGAGCTCAAACACCAGTCCGAGTTTAGTCAAACTCAAGTTTGAGCCTACTCAATCTAAAACAAAATAAGAAACACATATTTTTATTTTTTAAAAGTGGATAAAATAGACATTTCACTCTAGTAAATAATAAAAATATAGGGGACATGCATATAATTTTGTCACTAAAATTATAAAATATTAAAAATATATGAGCTCAGTGTTAATTGAGTTCGAATCAAGTTTTAATGGCACCGGCTTGTGAGTGCTCATGAGCTGATTTGAGTAAGTTGTAGTCCTACTTACAATAACAAGAACAATCCCACAAATAATGCCTTCATGTCGCTTTATTAAGTAGCCAATTTATCTAAAATTACAAATAAAAGCAAAAGCATATTGAGGAGCCAATTATTTGCAAGGCATAGCCACTGGTATGGTTTTTCTATTTATTCCTTTCTAAATGAGGCATTGTGCAAGAAATAATGGTAGTATTATCTACATCTTCTGACTTTGTCCAATGAAAGATAGTTTTTGTATCCTTCAATCGCATATGACACGTGAGTTTGATTCCCACAGTTGGCACCAAATGTTGATACTAAAAAGCAAGTTATATACGAAAATGAATCCTTGCTGGAGTAGTCAATATATCTTTATTATACTAAAAGCGCGAGTTTGGTTTGCTACAGTAAAAATGGGCCGGTTATACCGTGATTTGTGTGAGCTTGAGGGCGGTTTTTGTCTTTTTGTGGGGTGGTTTGTGCTGATGCTGTCCGCGTGGCTTTGCAGCTGTCTGCATGGCTTTGGAACTTCGATGCTGCGTGCTGCTTGCTGCTGTCGCATGGCTTTGGAACTTCAATGCTGTCCGTGTGGGCACAAGAAGTGCAAGCTTTATTACACAAAAGTTTTTTGAAGACTGATTGCTTCTGTTTTCCTGCGCTTCAACTGCTTTCGACCCCTGTGGGAAAAAAAAAAAGCATATCCGCTGGTAATGATCTTCCAGTTCCGGGAGAACTCATAATCTGCTTCCTCTTCACTACTTAAGTCACATCCATTTTCTACTGGAAATTTTTTTTTAAAAAATCATTCTCAAGGCTTTAAACATAATGAAATTTCTCTACTCAATATAATTAACTGGCAAATTCTTTGCTAACCTCTTGATTACTGCTAACTAACTAACTGCTAATATGGCACTTCGTTACTAAACAACCCAAAACGACTTCAACTAAAACGTAAAACTAAAATGGTATATAGATTTGCGTTAAAATTCATATAGATTTGGCATCCATGTACATGCTTAAATTGAACCAAAATTTGACTGTTTGTAATTTGCTCCTTGCTAGATTATCTCTATTATTATAACAAATACAGTAGGTCACTGGAACAAATGATAATGCCACAGCTTATATTTTGTTTCCACGACCAGTTTATGTACAATTACAAAACTACCCAATCTAAGTCCAAATTTCATTTGGAATTGAGAAGGGTAATTTTGACATTTTGTATAAAATGGCTGTGAAATTGAAAAATGGACTATGGCATTAACAGCGCCCTTAACTGGGTCTGTATCTGTTAATTTGTTGACTTATAAAGGTTAGAGAAGTATTGCATATGCAATTCCAAAACAAAAGCTTTCATTGACATCTTTGTAATTGTTGATTAGTGGTTTATATATTGCACAAATATTTGTAAACCATTGACCTTTGAAAAACACGTCCAATTGTTGATCAATGGCTTGGCTGTAGATGCAGGGATACTATTGCTTTGCATTTGCGAAAATAGGGATAATACATTGCAGTGAATCTGAGTATGATATATTTCTCCAGGTTGTTCCTAGCTATTGTTTAGTACTTCCTAAGTAATTCTCCTACTAATGCATTCCCACAAATGTATCAGAAATTGGCAACAAGTCCAATCAAATACATATTTCGTAGCAAATTCAAGCGGAAATCCAGGCATCCTCACGGGATTCAAATGGTAGTTAAGGTCCAATTAGCTATTAAGGTTATAAGGTAAAATATACTACATGTTGCATGTCTCAAGATTACTATAATTTGTTCTACTTCAAAGAATGCTTGACAAAAGAAAAGAAGGAAAAGTTCATCGTCATTGATTAATGGTCTCTGCACAAAAAAAGAGATGCAAAGAAAAAAATGATGACGATGATCTACGTACTACCCCAAAAATTGTTGCAATGAGTGCAAGAAGTTTGGGAAGACGCGTTTTATTGGAAAGATTACTATAAGAAACTACACCTGTCAATATGATATTTTTTACTACAATTATTAGAAGCATATTTGTTTTACTACATCATGAATAATTCTTAATTTCTTGACATTTTTTATTGCGTAGAAATGTGATGATTGTTCTTTTCAATTATTGATATCACCATTGTGTTTATTCACAATAAGTTTCAAGAAGGGTTTTACTTGTTTAAACTTATTTCATTCTTGACTAGATACAAATAGTGTGTGCATAATTTTAAAAGTGATCAGCGTCACCATATTTATGATATTTGTATGTAATTGTACATTTCAAATGAATGCATCATTTTTATAGTATCAAGAATTCGCAAAGATTTTAAGGTATTGACTGACTATCTAAGAGAAAATTACAAATCAAATGAGTAAATGAGTAACAGCAATATTCAATTTACATAAAGTCAAACTCTCCACATTTATTTAACAATTATCATGTATTAATATATAAACATTTTACATTAATCTACTTGCCTTTATTTGATATTGATTAACATAGACCCAGGGCATCCTCACGCATCGCGTGAGGCTGAAAAAACTATAATAGCTAAAGTCTTAGGTCTAGCTGGAGACATAGTATTCAACTTTTTGAAGATGCCTAATTTGGATGTATATATATCCAGAAGCGTATGTCTAAATATCTAGTATAAATTCAAATAAGCAGCAGGGCCTTCGTGTCCAGGTGGAGCCTCCGATGTTCAACTCAAAACTTGGACCTAAAGAGAATAATTTAAATATAAATGAATGAATTGTATTAGAAAATTTAGAATGGAATAATCTATCTTGCACTTTTTCTTTTTATCCTTGAGAGCTAATGGAATTTTTACTAAGTAGGTAATAACAGCCTTGATAGGCTTGGACCTAGGAAA